GAAGTTGTAGATGCCCTATCCCTGGAAGTGTCAAGGCCAGGCTGGGCGAGGCTTTGGGCAACTTCATCTAGTGGAAGGTGTCCCTACCTCTGGCAGGGGGGCTTGAACTAGAAGAAATTTAAAGTCCCTTCCAACCCAAATCATTCTATGAAATCTTTGCTTCTTTAGAGGTTATGAATTGCATTCTGAGATTTATCATTTGATGATCATAGTTCTGGTGTAAGTAATGTTTTGGGACCTTGAGAGTAACAGCTACTCATGTAGATTATGGCTTGTAGAACTGAGCCCCAAAATATTAGTGTCTCATTGGGATTTCTTGCTCACAACTGCTACTCTGTCTTGGACATGAGAGGACATGTTTATGTATTTTCCTCACCGTTTCTGCAGCATATAAAACTCTAACATGCTGTTGTATTTTAATTTGAAGCCTAAAATATTAGAAATGTGTATCACTTAACATGGTGGCTGGCCAAAGCAGTTTCTGCAACACAGATTCTTCTACAGGGATGTGGTGTACAGGTATACAGGTTCACTTCTCTAGACTCCCTCCCATACTTCCCATGATGAAGACTCACCACACGTTCAGCTTTATTGATTGAAATGAGCTAATGACAAAGGTAAATGCTTTTTACAGGCAGCTGCACTGCAATGGATGTGTGTGAAATATTGTGTCATGAAACCTGGACCTCTTCTGCTTTTTGGTTCATGGAAAAAAAAGCTGTGGTGAACAATAAAATGTCTCACAAATTCTGTGAAAAGTGTTAAAATAACAAAACCATTATATTTTATTAAAGGATGGGAAATAAGTATTAGAATGGAGAGGCAAGAGAAAAAAAAAAAGGCGGGGGGGTGGGAGGTGACACACCAAAAAACAGTATGGCCAGACAAGGGCTGGCTATAAAGGAATGGTATTACAATCTATGCTGTGAAAGGTCTGAACCTGGGGTCAGTAAGTATATGTGTACCAAGCTCTGTTTAAGCTTATGCAGTCTTGGTTATACTAGTGGCTGTTGATAATTTAGCAGAAAATGGGATTTCATGCATCTAAATTAGAAATGATAATATTCTAAAACGGTTAATGCATGAGTGACATGCCCACAGCAATACGCAATCACTGTCAAAATCTTCTGTCACTGGCAGAGATCACAATAGAAAATAGAATGGGAATGCCAAAGCTACAATTGTTTCCTCATAAACCAAATCACCTACTTCTGGGAGAAAAGTTTTCTGAATCTAGGTGCAAATTCTTTGGCCTTATTCTGGTTTACAGCTAGCTTTAGGTTTATAGCTAGCTTTAAGTTTACAGCTAGCTTTACTATGAAAGTCAGTGGTGTTACTATCATAAAGCTACTGAAAGTGATGTTTTAATTAAAGTTCCTGCTGATTCCTCCAGGAAAGGTGTTTGTAGAAAGAAGGGTAGGGGACATAGCTAATAACTTAGCTGTGTAAACAAAGATGGGAGGTGATAAGATTTCTTTATGGAAGTTAATCCAAGTTACCAAATTAATCCAACTAAAGGCTTCCTTGCTTTGTCCTGCTAGTTTAGTTTATTCAGAGGTGATGGTGTCATTTGCCTACTCTCCCACAGTTATGTTACTCTCCTGCTAAGCCAGAAGATCCAGAGGCAAAAATTAACATCTGTATGCAGCTTAAGCCCCTGAACAACTTTCTTTAGTCAAATGTGAGATAATGAGCAATGAACTCTGCAAGATAATATTACTTCTACCTTTCTGGTACAAGAAGAAAACTGCCTTTCTCTATTCTCTTGTAAAACAGCAAGAAAGGTGCTAGAAGAGAGCTTATATACAAGGATTTGTCCTGCACAAGTAATGAAGCAAATTAGTAACATTTTGACAAGCGTGGAAACATTCTGATGTGTGTGATATTTTCCTGCCATTAAGCAAAATCACCAGGGTGGAGTCATGACATTCCTAAGAGGTTTACAGGTTTAATATTCAGTCCCTTTTGCAGAATGTGCGTTTTACCTTCCCTCTCTCCTCCCCACAAAAAAGAAGTGTAAATTAATGAATAACAACCTTTAGAAATGCATTGTGCAAAGCAATACAGTTACCTTCATATGCAATAATGGCTAATCCATCAGAAAGCTGGAGAGAAAATAAACACTTAAAATTCTCTACTTCTGCTGCAGAAATGGAGAGATGTCTGTTAAATAGAGGTGTTCCACTTTCTAATCTAATGGAAATTGGATGAGTTAGCTGAGTCGTTCATGTTGCACATTATTACCTAAAGACTTTCCCTCTCTAAAAACCTCTAACAAATCGCATTCCTGTTTCCTACCTATCACCAGTGTTGTCGGAGGGACTGATAACAGCTTTTTCCTAAAAGCAATAAAAACGTTAACTGAAAAACAAACATGCATGCAGATGCAGCATGTCTGTGTAGACACAGCCATACCTGTATCGCTACAGTATCTGTTATGCCAACCCAAACTGTTCTATGACTCTATGTTAACTAAACCAACTAATGTGGAAGTTTTATCACTACATTTCCAACACCACGACTAGCGATTTTCACATAACTTCCTTCTAGACAAAGTATTACAGCTCTGGGGAAAACAAACCTCACGTTGAACATTTTTATTTTTCTTTTGCCTTCAATCTGAAAAACAGCGTTTGTCTTACTGGAGAAGCAAAAGCGAGTATACTGTGGTTTTCTGTGCAAGGAAATGGGTGCTAGATTTAACACCTTCATTCAGAGGAAGCTTTGTCTTCCATGTCATACTTCAGCAATACATAATAGGATTTGGTTCGCTGTGTCTGATTGAGAAACTTGATTACTTTTCTTTTATACAATTAATTTAGATATCCTTACAGTGGGAAAATATCACACAATGGCAATATGCACCAGAAAAGACTTTTCTTCCTTAATGAGAATGTTGGGAACAGCCTGGAGGGAAAAGTTAAAAGACTGAAAGCAAAGGATCAGCATGGAGGCTTCTTAATGAATACCTCATTAGGGTCAGAGAAAGGGAACCAAAGGCAGAAAGGAAAGAAAACAGTATGAGTAACTGGTAAAGTACAAGAGTTTATTCAGACAAAAAAAAATAATCTTTTAAAATGGTAATGCAGCTAAGCCCAAGAGAAGTTAGTATCATTGTAACTGTTAGTAAGTATAAAGTGGAAAACATAGAGGCCTGATTGTGCTTTCGCTTGCGCAGAACTTCTGTTAAGGGCAGGTCATTATGAGGACTAGAAGAAAATTTGAGTAGCCAGACATAAAGACAAACAGTGTATCTGTGATTTTTGTACAGCTGGACTACTGAGGTGCTGAGGGGTTAATCAAAGACAATGAAAGGTCAAATAAAGACACCTTAATCCATGCATGAGAAAGGTAATATCACCCATGAAAAAAAAACCAGAATACTGTGACACTTAGTGCTTTGTCTGGAAGGCAGCACACTTAATAGAATGATACCAAAATAGATGTCCTGCTAAATTTGTACAGCTTGTTTTCTGATTTTGGGTTGATTGGTTTGTTTTTTTTTTGTGTTTTTTTTCCCCAAAGTAAAATTTATTGTTCTATTTTGAAAACAAAACTTATTAGTGAACTCCCTTCACTGTCCTGGCTCTGAGATGTTCCTTGGGGGTACTGAGGACCAGCAACAGAGATAGCAAAACAAAGTAGGCTGTTACAGCCAGAGTGCCAGCTAAGCTATGATGCAGTGAGCCAGTGCATCCTCAACAAAGTGCAGTCTTTGTTCTCAAGCAAACGTAACTGCACAGATACCCAGAAAGGTAGGGAGAATTACTGACTGAGCTGAACAAATGCTTGGATGTGTGGCTGTCCTCTACTGACATGATTTTTTTTCTCTTTTTTTGATGGTATTTTTAAGAACATGGAAAGCATCATAAAATGTATCTGAAGGCCTCTTATAGAATCAGAGTGGTTTGGGTTGGAAGGGAACTTGAAGATCTAGTTCCACACCCCTCCCCGCCATCGGCAGGAACACCACTTTTGAAGAGTTTTCCCTTGAAGTGCTTTTGGGGAAGGTCATGGTTAAAGAAATATACTTCACCAGAAATAAATCCTGATTTGAGAAAACGAAACACTATAATTGCCTTATGATAAGCTGCTAATAACAAAGCCAAGAGGAAAACAATATAGACAGAAATCTAACAACAGCGCTGGAGTCCAGCTCTGAAAACATAATTTGATTCCTGACCCATGCTTTCCCCTTCTGACTGTTGTCCATTAAGTAAAGAATCTGAGAAGGGAGGACATTCTGAGCAGCTTGAGTAGCAGCGGACTAACTCCAGCTCAGTGTACCTTGGGGGGAGGAGGGAGGAAAATGGTGAAAACTTTTAGGCTTGGGTAACAAGGATGAGGGGAGAAAGATGAGAAGGTGAAAACTAATAGAAGCTTGTGAAGAAAAAGATGAAAAGGCAACATACATCCTATAAACCTGGATTGGGAGAGGCATGCATGGTTCCTCAGTAAACAAGTTCAGGCTGTGTCTTTGTACATTATGTGCTGCCTGCTTCAAGCAAAGGGTCTGGCCAGGATGTGCTGATGCTAAAGCAGGGTTAAATGGAGGCTAACTGTCAACAGAGCATTTTTTAGTGAAATCAACTTGTGCATTTTTCTCCCTTGCGTAAGCCCCCCAACATAAAAGTACAGCTGTTCAGTGGTTTTCTGGAATGTTTTACTATTTCCATGGGTCCCTCTGAGCTAGAAATGCTGAGATACAGTACTCTCATTCAGTGTATCCCTCTCAATTTTCAGAAAAGTGAGGGGCCTCAGGAATGCTGTTTTGTTTTCTGTTTCTGGCCCTATACTTCATCTACTGATTATTAGATTCTACTAGCCAAATCTATCAGTAACTGACAAACTTGTATGACCTAGAAGTAAAGGAATAGGTGAATTAGCTGAAATGAGGTGTTTGGTGAAATTATTCTTTGTTCTGGCCTTCACTCTTATTATAGCTTTCATTTCAAACAGTGAAATACTTTCTGAATATTGACCTTGCCCGAATTCAGTACCTGTTTCTTTAGAGGTTGCCAGTTACCTTTTGCTGTAGCCTGCTTTTTGTCTTGTTTTCAATCATGCCACTCACTTATCCATTGACAATCTGATCTCACTTTCCCGCTGTGAGGTAGTCTTCAGCTATTTCCCATTTTTTGTGCCTACAAGAGAAATGCCACTCAACTACAATAAAAGGAGATAAACACCACAAATAGTAACCAAGCATTCTAGCTAGCATTGTTATATAGCAGATACCTGGACAGTTTTGCTATCAAACAAAAACCAAATGGAATGAAAATTGTGAGACACCTGACAGACCAAAATTTGTAGTTCTTTCAGATGATGGTGCAATACAAAATACTAACAGCGTGCCATTTGCAGCATGGTATTTTCCTACCCATAGCTGCAATTCACTTGAAAGTTCCAAGTAATTTTAGTATAATCCATCATTTATCTGAAGATAAGGGCATAAAAGATTGCACCAGCCATTCTATTTCATACATGCTTTGTCTCAAAACAATCACTGCTCTTAGGACTTGCAGTCAACATAGCATCTTTTCACTTGCTTGTTACAGCTGAAGTAACAAGTATCATTAATCCCCTTGTGTGTCAGATTTGTTAACTCCCTAAAATGTTCAAAAATTACACAGATTCTTCTAGGGTACATCTGTCAAATCATAATTTTGGGTTTTTTTTGCAAAGGATAAGTTTTAGAAGATGGTACAGAACATGGTATGAGTGCTCTGAGTACAAGACTGTCTTGGGGAAAGTGATCTTAAGAGAGAAATTTGTTGATGGAAAGGGAACAAAAACAAATATTGTGGTTGACAAAAGCTTACTGGCTTTTCGCTGCAGGGTTTTTAGGACCAGAAGGAGACAGAAAATAATACTGTGGTTAGTAATTTCTGTGCAATAACAGCTGTATATAAGAAAACAGCTCTGCTGGAGCCTTTTGATCTTCAGGCTGCAGCATTTGGGCCTCATGCATGAGGTTTGTACACCTTTAAGCTCTAGAGTAAATTTTATTGCCATCTACTCAAACTCTCCAATATAGCTGAACTTGTCTGGGGTATACATGCCAAAATTTTAACTTTGCATAAAACTCTAATTTGAGATAAGTAGCTGAGGTTCAATTCTCAGCAATAACAACCTGTTTATTCCTGTTAGCATGGTGGAAGATAATCGTACAATAGTGAAAAAAACATAGCAAGTCTTCCCTCCACTTTACCCTTTCTTAAGTGAACCACATTTACCATTTTGCTTTCAGAGTTCCATGAGATTTCTAAAAATTTCTCTTTGTGATGCTCTGCAATTTTATCTTACCTAGGTTCTCAAACCTGATCCTAACAATGCAGAGGCTGAGTTCTTAAAAATACCATAGTCATCCTTGGGACAAACTGTCCAAAAATCCAAAATGTTATGCAAGAATACTGCAAAATTGTTAATTAATATTTGAGAGCAACCCGTGGTAGAACATAACATCTGTGTCACTGCACTTCCAGTAGAATTATTGTACAGCTGAGAGCATGAGGCACAAACATCAGCAGTAATCTAGATAAGGCCTGAAAACTAAGACAAGTTTACCCAAAGGGTAGAGATTTAGGTGCATATGCAATAGAGCCTACAATACACACAAGACAGCCATGGGCCTGCGATGGCCAGGCTATATCTTGACCCAGTCCTCCCAGTAACCGGTAACTCTTACCATGCTTGCAATTCTGAAAGGATTCCAAGATTAGACTTCTCTTTCTGTAGAAAGATGATGCTTGCTGGGTTGCCAGTAATCCCCTCATTCCCCTGATTTAGCCATCTGGCTACTTTCTTCGGCATATCTAATATACTGCCAAAGCAGATCTATTCATATGCCAATGAATCCTGATAACCTGTTTCCCAATTCAGCTCTAGGTGTAACATAACCAAATTAAATTTTAGTCTATTCCTCCTCTTACTGAGGTGTCTCCTAGAAGATAACCATTAAATTCAGGTAAAAAAAGCACAATATTAACCATCTGATGTAAGTTGGATTTAGTATTTGATTAAAATAGTGCATAAATATGCATGTTCTTTATTCAAGTAAGGATAGAACATGACCTTTGATGAACTCACCGAGGATGAAAAGGGGACTTGGAAGTGTAGGAAACACAGATAAGTGCCAAGCACTCAGAAACAAGTGTATCCTTCTCACAGAGGGATTAGATGCCCTAAAATGTGGGCAGTAATAGCCACATGAGAGATTAGGAATACTCCTGGTGACACTAGGAGGTTCACTTAAAAAGGTCCAAAGAAAAACGAGAGGTAGTCAGCAAATGAAAGTAATCTGTGACTGCTTGAAATGTTTTTAACTCATATACTTTTGCAAAAACGGGAGTTTAACTAGGACAAGTGTAATCAGAGTCTGTATCTTATGTAGCCTTAAATTACCGTATTAATTATTGTAGCTGCAGTAAGGAACGATAGGCAGTGCCAGAGAAAAGGCCTACCCAAATGTCTCCCTTTAACACACACCAGATAGAATTGCCACAGTGCAGGAAAACGCAGTGTCTGCCCTTTATCAGAAATAAGTTTTTTTTTAAACAGGAATTAACTCTGACATATTATGTCCATGTCTGCAAACACAGTCCACACGGTTCAACAGAATTATTCTAGAAAGTGTAAATAAATCACCATGTTTACATTCTGCATCTGCCTCTGTTTTTATAGTGCTACAAAGAGCAAAAAGAGATGAAATACATTCTCAATTTTTAATACAATTAGAGATAATATTGTTCATTCAGCAGGTAACACAAATATATATCATCCATCATCTTGTTCTAAGTAGATTGTAAAAAGTAGGCTGTGGGGCTGAGATGATTTAAACTGAAATGCAGCACTCTCCTCACTTCTGCAGTGCTGTGGATACAAGCATTTCTGACTGGAATTTACTGCCTTTTAAACCAGTAACTTGCAGGTGAAGTTTGCACATGCTGTTCAACCCAAGCAAGGTAGTTTCCAAGCAGGCAGGCAGGAAACCTCACACCACACCACTGAAAATGGGCACACCTCTGTTCTCCTCCAAGTGCGAGAATTAACCCTTGTTTCCATCTACTACCTTGACAAAAGTAAGGTGAGAATGAAATCGACTATTTGCAAATTTAATGATAAATATGACTTTTAATTGTACAGGGCTGCTTTGCTTTCTCAGTTTAGCAACATAAACTAGGAAGCACTCCATAGTTGTTACTGATTTTTCTCTGCTATGTAGTTCAAGTTGTAGAGAGGAAAAGTGTAGAGAAACACCACAGTCATGCTGGAAAGGCATACAATCAAAATTCTTAATATATGAATGGTAGCTTATTTGAGGGCACTTCATATTTTTGAAAGATGCTGTAGTTTCAAAGATTATGGTGGTAACAAGCAAAATGGACTGCCACAGTCAGGAGTGTGAAACATTTATCTGACACTGAATCAGAGATGAAAGAGCCTTTCTATATCACCATGGTAATTACCTGCTCCACACCATATTCAATCCCCCTATTCAGGCAAAAATCTACTTACGCTGGTGGTGTGGGCTCACACAGGTCAAGCCCTCCCAACTCCCCCACTGAAAAAAAAGCCCCTCTTTACCCTCATCTCTTTTTGGGGTTTGTAATTTTACTGAATCCGTTTACTAGCCCATACCATGCTATGCACACAACACAACTGAAACAAGCACACAGCTACTAATGGAGGGGACGGAAATTTACAGTGAAGTGTAGCACTCTCTGGACAAAATCCTGCTGTCTCTTGCTGCCGTACATCCATTAATTCTGGTGGGTTTGCAGAAATATATAAATGGGTGTCATGAATCCTGCAAATTTCCTGCCTGTATGTTCTGTGATCCCATTGAATTATGTAGTTACCAATATGCCATTGGACTTGCTCAGAAGAATATGGGGCTTGTGCGCCTGTTAGTAAGTGGTAACATTTGGAGAGTGGGATGACAGTAAATATGTTACAGGAGCTCACCTGAACATGTTGAAGAATTCTAGTCCAGTTTCATTTTTAAGAGTCCATGCTAAATTTAAAATCTGGGAAAAAAAGAGGGGCATTTAACTTTTACCAACTAAAATCTAATCTCTGGTTGCAGATCACTCTTTTTTTTTTTTTTTTTTTTTAATAGAAAATGGGTAAGTCTGGTTATGGAAAGTGTATGCTACCCAATTTTGCTGAAACCAGTACCAGTTGCTAATCAGTGGAAGTTGTATTGCCTGTTAGACTGAAAAAAAGATGCGTTTGAGTCTCAAAAACCATCAACATCGCTTTTAGTGATTTTTGATTAATTTATATCATGAGCTTAGCACAGTAATAGAATTTTGAACTGCTCATTTGATCATGACCAGAGGTTAGCGGCTGCTTCTTGCAGGCTGGTGGGAAGAGCTTTCATGGTGAGAAGGTGTTATTGCCCCGGGTGCTGTACCTTCTGTCAGAGGGGGCATTTATCTTCAACAGGCATCTCCTGTTTTGCAGGACATGAGAGCTCACATACACGGCATGGCTGTGAGTCTGCAGAATATTTAGCTGTGTCCTAAATAACTATGTGGTGTGGGCTTACCGAGCGGGCCTCGGAGGGCAAGCCTTCGAAGGGCACAGGGCTTAGGTGTCTGCGTTTTGCCCGGAACCGAGATTTCCTCTGCCAACTTCATCTTAACAGTCTAAATTCAGCAGGGGGCTCTATCGGAAGACACCAACACCTTCTTGTCCCGGCACCTGGCAGCGTGCTCCCGGCGAGACGTGGGGGTTTTAATCGGCGCGACGGCAGGCTGCCGGCCGGGATCGCAGAAGCTGCCCCGCGCCCGCGGAAGCCGGAGGGACGCGGCTTACCTGGCTCCGAGGACGCCCTGCCCTGGGGCGAGGAGGAGTGGGAGCGACCAGGTTTTTGCTGGGGCGGGGGAGACGCGACTCAGCTCCGACAGCGCTCTCCCTGCACCATGTTCGGTTCGGCGCTGGACCCTGCACGGCCTCTGTTCCCGGACGCACCGCTCCCCGACTCCGCTGCGCGGCCCCTACTTTTATAGCGAGGGGCGTTGCAGCTCAGCCCAGCTCACCCGCTGTCTCTCCCCACCCATCTCCCGGGACAGACCCCTCTTGACCCGTCTCCTTCTAAGTCCCGTACTTTCCCTACCCCCGCCCCTCGCCCGCTGGCACGCCCGCATCCGCAGCCCCCCCGCCCTCTGCGGGTGCGGAGGCGGCCGGTCCGCACGGCTCCGCCGGCAGCGAGGGGCGCTCCAGGGTTGGGGGGCCAGGCAGGACGATGTCTCCCGGCGCACGACATCGCAGGGCAGAGCTAACGCATGGGCACCCGCGGGTACTTTGGAGAAGGACGACGTCCAGCGCAGCGCAGGCTGGGTGGGAAGTGAGAGGGATGGACATAGAACGCCCGTTGCTTCTTTTGCCTTCAACTGTATGAAGTAGGGGTCTCAAGCACCGTACAGACATTTCCTGTTTCTATAGGAATCCCACAGTAAGCCCAACTGAAATGGTCAAATCATCTCTAGTGAAATTGTAATATAGCTAGAATTGCCATCATGAATTTATCAAACTTTATTCTATAGGAGAAGGAAACAGGTATGTTAAGCCCCTTTGAACACATGCCCTAAGAGGTCTGCTCTTCAAATCGCTGCTGGCTGACATAAAGAAAAAGATTTTGTGTATGAGGTATTTTTTGTTGTTGTTTCTCTCTTGCTTTACTAGATGGGGCAGGGAACAACTTTTCAAGAAGGATTTCTGAGATTATCATTCCCACAAAGAACAGGATTGTCAGAAATTTTGTTTTATTTTAGGGTCCTCTAGTCGTAGTTGTGGAAAAAGCTGATGTTACCAACGGGAACTGCACAATTGCAGATGGCTTTCTAATCTTGTTATACACCTAGTGTGTTTTTGAAGGCCCTCTGAAGAAAGACATTGTGACTTAGGATGGTAATATTTTTCAAGGCTTGGCAGTGTAACTTTATTGTGGATAAGAGTAATTTGGATCTAGTTAGTGATAGTGATAGGAGAAGGTAAACCGAGAGGAAACATTTGCATTCTGCAGTAATAACTTTATCTGAAATAATAATTTCTTTTCAGCATCTGCACGTGTATAATCAGTAAGATCTTGTCTGGGTGTAATTTGCTTTTGCAAGTCTGTTAGCCAAATCAGAGGTTCAGTAGAAATGAAGAACTGAGGCACGTTATTTGAACTTAATTGTTCCAGGCTGTCTCTGATGGACCAAGAGTGCGTTACCTAGCTGGAGGCACTAATTCACCTGTGACATAATCTTTTGTCCTGATCTTACATATGTTGTGTCAAGAAAAATCAGCTGCATTTTCATCAGAACATCAGTCAGGACTGAAGCAGACTATACTGGCAGCATATGACCCTCCTGCCATTCAAGCATTTTGTAATTGGCTTTCTCTCTGAAGAGCTCGTGCTGAGGTATCTTCTAATGATGAACTGTGTGCATATTCACAGATTTATTATGACAGAGAATGGGAGCTACTTGCCAGTAAGTACTGTTCAGGATTCTATGGTCCCTGAAGTGTGCA